TCCTCCTCTCCTCCTCCTCCCCTCCTCCTCTCCTCTCCTCTCCTCTCCTCCCTCCTCCTCCTCCTCCTCCTCTCCTCCTCCCTCCCTCCCTCCTCTCTCCTCTCCTCTCCTCTCCTCTCCTCTCCTCTCCTCTCCTCTCCTCTCCTTCTTGTCCTGTTGTCTTGCTCCCATCCATCCCTCCCTTCTCCTCTCTCCCCATCCCTCCTCCTCTCTCTCCCTCCTCTCCCTCCTTCCCTTCTTCCCTCCTTTTCCCTCATCTTTTCTCTGTGTTCCGCCGATTCTCATGATCTCCGGGCGAGTGCAGGTGAAAGCCTCTCACGACGACACCGTCCAGTCCGTGAAGCTTCAGATCTACAACTTCTACGGGATCCCTCCCAACGATCAGGCAGCCGTTGAGGGCCAACCAACGGTCGTTGTGCTGACCTTCCCCCAGATCTTGTCCTACGACGGCAAGGAGCTATCTCCCGCAGAGAGGAAGCTTGCTGACTTCGGTGACTTCTCCTGCTTGCCTGCCTCCAGTCTGACGATGCTGGCAGAGGTGCTGAAGGACTCGACAATCATCCTGGTCGTCAAGGGGGCGGAGGACGCAGAACCCTCCAAGAGACAAGACGACGACGAGCAAGGGGCTGGTTTTACTGGAACCGTCCTGTCAGGGTTGTACCTGCCGAGTGCTGAGCGGCCGAAGGACAACGAGGTGGGGACGAAGACTAAGGCAGAAGATGGTGATGAAGAGATGCGCGGTGATGAAGAGATGCGCGAGCGGGAGGAACAGTCGGGGGGTGACGACTCGGACGACGATGTCATCACGATCAATTGAGAGCTTTCCAGGGCTTAGGATTGTATTATGTGCATACCGCTTTGCTTATTGAGGGAGATTACTGTACAGAATGAAGATGGTTTGTAAAGTAGGTCGAGGACGTGGGCTGAGGCGATGGCTTCGCTCATAGGGAGTCTGCCTTGTTCAGGTACTTGCGGTAGATCTCAAAGTTTTCTCTCTGTTGTTCGATCAAGTTGTGGATCAAGGAGTCACTGAAGTCCTCCGCTGCATGGTTGACCTCCTCTTCATCCTCCTCCTTGATGTCCATGGCAGCACGGTCAGCGCCAAAGGACGGAATATGGTGGTCCAGTGGCGCCAGCGTGCCCTGAGGGAGGTTCTTGGCCTTGTAGCGAGAGGTAGCAGGCATCATCTGAATCGCTGCGAAGACGCGGGAGCGGACGCGCATCAGCGGGGAGCTGCTGCCTTTCCCCTTCTTGTGCCCTTGCTGGTCTGCATCGAGGGACGTGGGATGCTTCTTGGACCCTGCCACAGGGGAGTTGAGGCCGTCTCGTCCTAGCAAGTCGTCCATCCCCTGACTTGCGTCGATGGTGTCGATGGTGTGCCACTTCCGCATGATTGACAGATCTCGCGCTTGACGACTTTGAGCTTGACCCTTCACCGACGACACGGCCCATCCCCCCGTGCTATCTTGCTTGCCGTTCGTCGCCGTGTCTGGTTCCGGAGACCAAGAAAAGGAAGGCTCGTCCGGCATGCTGATCCTCCGATCCCGAGTGGTGGGAGGAATCATTACTACGTTCTTCTTGTGGCGGATGGAGAAACGGTCTGGGTCATTGCGGGGCTGCGGCAGGTCAAGAGATCGCCTGGTCATCGCTACGTCGCTCCTGATCTTGGCAACGGGAGAGAGCCGACCCCTCTCGAAGTTGGGGATCGCAGAGATGTTTTCTAACGCTGTCATGGCTGACTGGGATTGAGATGAATTGTAGGTATCGCAGGGAAGTTAAACAGGTGTTCACGCCTTCAAATCTGCACAGCAAGAGTTCAGCTGAAGGTGTGTTGTGACATATGATCTCCGCTATTAGCCCATCTCTACCCATCTCCTTTCATTCCCTCACATTCCCCATGTCATGTCATGTCATGTCATCCCATCCCATCCCATCTTTTCCTATCTCTTCTCATCTCTTCTCATCTCATATGATCTCTTCTCATTTAATCATCTCAGCTCAGCTCAGCTCATCGCATTGCATCCCATCCCATCTCATCCCATCTCATCCCATCTCATCTCATCCCATCTCATCCCATCCCATCCCATCTCATCTCATCCCATCTCATCCCATCCCATCCCATCCCATCCCATCCCATCCCATCTCCTCTCCTCTCCTCTCCTCTCCTCTCCTCTCCTCTCCTCTCCTCTCCTCTCCTCTCGTCGTCAGTGTCAGCGTCACTCTCTGACTTCTCTCAGAATCCTCTTACGACCTTCATGTATCGCTTGTCCGAAGCCCCAACGCTGCAGGTTCATCGCCTCCTCCCCTCCCTCCCTCCTCTGACCGGCATCAAGTTTTTCAAGAATGTGCTCTTCGTCGCGTCGCCCCAGGACGGATA